CGAACACATCTGATATGCAAAGGCCTCTACTAATGCGTCCTTTGGAGTAAGTTTTTTCGTGTAGAGACGGGGCCCAGAGGAGCAGCTGCGAAAGATTTTACATTTTGAAAAACTCTTGGAAAAAATGGTACGTTGCGCCGTACTCCATTACGATTCCAAACGCATCTGTTGTATGTGTTATCGCATCGGCGAACTCCACGGACGGAAATCTCCTTTTTTGTTTTTATCTCGTGTCTAATAATAGACAAACTAATATTGGAAGGGAGCAGGGCTTTATTGAGTGCGCAATTATAGAGCTACACGTTGTCGTGTGATCTCAACTGGTTTATACATACATTGTACACTATCTACTACCATTGAAGTAATATGTACTACGAACTGGAAGAAACGCCTAGACATGGTTGTTTTTTCGTGTGGTCAACACGTGTTAGAGCCGGCAACTCAATAGTCTGTGCCATAAAAAGTACTGTGCCAGATTTACACACAGGCTAACTAGCCTGGAACTTAGAGCGCAAAGTTCGAGGGAGTATTGAGCTCATCTTTGCAAGTAATCTGTGCATAACAGAATAAAATTTGGTATAATATTCTCATTTTAGTTGTTACTCTTTATTTATTTTTGGTATAAAACTAATAAATAGATTTTAAAAATCAGAATGAATACCTTTAGTCTTTCGTTGATTGACTGGACGTGATTCAAAGATTTTAAACTAGGTACTCAAGCTCTCCTCTATCTCTAATTTTATTAAGGTGTTTTTGTTAAGGCTGTCCAAGGAAACTCCTGTCTGCCATTTTTATTTTGGTTGCAAATATTATTTGGTATCTTATCTTTACTTGTGGTAGGTTTGACTCACAGGACGTGATTAAAAGATTTTGAACTGCTCAGGCTCTCTTCTCTACCTGTAATTTTATTAAAAGTTACCTACGCTATTCCTTCAATATATCAATTATATGTTGATGTTACTAGTTGTAACACTGGTGATATTTTTTACACCGGCTATGTTAGTATTTCTCGAGAAACACGCCATCGAGTATCGGAACAAACATGTGTCTGAAGTCTTTGATAAACGAAAATTCGGATTGGAGACGACTTTAGTCCATTTTGACACTCCCCATGCTGTCTCGGCCAGCATCGGAATCCTCGGCATCGACATATCGAATGACGCAGTCACTCGGAAAGGAAGGCTTAATTAGGCTCTAAAAATCTCGGCGTGTTCAGCAGAGCGAGATAGTATTTTATGCCGGCATATCGTATGCAACTTTACAAGGCGCAAGTTCGCCCTCACATAGAGTGTTCTCATTTTTGGATCGGGGCACCTCATTACCAGCTCCTTCCACTGACCGCATCCAGCGCAGAGTAGTTCGAATCGTCGACGACTGAGAACGGCTCGATTCATTGGCGCTGCGAAGAGATGTTGCATCCCATTGTATTTTCTATCGGATTTTCCACATCTGGATGTTTGGCGGTCCACCATGACTGTGCTATTCACTACTAGTAGTAGTACGACTATTCACTAGGAGTTTTCTTTCTCGCAAGACTTTTTTTGGGATCATCAACCACCGGCGATTTTTTTGCACCGACACGACTTAGAGACTTTCAAGAAACGAGCTTGCTGCTCGGCGACGCACCTGCAATTTCTCTGGTGTTGCAGTATTTTTTTTGTTCTTGGGCGATGGTCAACATTTGCTACTAAACGCTTTTAGAATTAATATTACTATGGTAGACTTAGGCCGCCATTACATTATTATGTGTATTTTTTTTTTAAATTGAGGGCGACAAACTGGCACAGTCCTCCTAATAATTGAATACTGTGGCCGATAGTCATTGACATCTATCCTTGATTAAGTATCACCTGCATCATACCATGTCATCTGCCTTGTTGCCAGTAATAAGTAATTAAATAAGTCAAATTAAAATTTCTTACACTGTAATGTAACCATATTCATTGCTGTTTCTTATGTTGTCAATCAAAATAAATAAATAAAATGTCGTTACATTGCAATCTGCTCTATATTATGAAGCCTTACAAATAAACTGAGGCTTGGTGTTGCGACGGGACGTAAATACAAATTAAGGTCGCCTACACACGCTGCCGGTCGCTAATGTAATTGAGTTCCAACTGAAAAATGTGAGCAACATTTCCAGCATCCCCACTTGGTAATTTTACGGTGACATTAAATGAAATGAAAGAAAATATAGAGAGAAACGTTGTTAGAGTTTATTAGAGTTTGCTCTTTAAGAATCGATTTTCATATATAAGTCCCAGTGTATTGACATTTATGGGAAGTAAAATCAAATGTTACGTCATGCGTTACGTTATGTATTCATGTTTCCATGACTACGTAATCTCGTGCGCAACTTATTTTGCGCTGCCCCCAGCACGAAGTACTCTCGGCTGTACTACTCAAAGAGAATATAATCACTACGTTTAGTACTACTTTATATAAACAAATAACAACTGTCAACTAACTGTCAACTTGCGGAGTTTTGAATTAAATTTCATATATAATCGTTCGTAAGGAGTAAATTCCAGTCGTGCATCGGAGTTGACACACACACTCTTTTATGTGGCAAAAAAAAAAAACAATATATTTATTTCTTAGACTAGAGACGTTAAAATGAATAAGTCAAGACGTCCTGGTGCCCTGTAATATAGGTTTTTATACCTACATCAGGCACCAGTCTCTCACAAGTTAGGTACCAGTCTGGCAATTTTGTAATACTTAGCATTAAGTTTACCTATTGTGAAGAGAAAATAAATTCATTCATTATCTCACCTAACAAATACAATTATTACGCGGTTCATAGCTAATTAATTTTAAAATATTTAATATAATGGACTTCCACAAAGTAACGCTCGATTCTATTAAATATAACTTCTAGCAAAAAAATTGCGTTTGACAAACGCGTGTTTTTTTTTGTCTGCAAATCGAATGCAGTTTCGGTAAATGGTGCCACAGACCGCAGCAGATACAGCAAAAGAATCTCTGCTGATATTTATTTTTTGTCAATTATAAAGGTTAATATTAGTTTATAATTTACTGTCGTTAATACCTAACTTAGTAAAGATAAAAAAAATATTATTGATCATACAACATATATATGTGACAAATGAGCCGTCCATATGAATTGTAAAGCTTTAGCCTATATTCGTCCTACGACAGGGTGCATATCTACTGAGTGGGTTAATTTTATTTGCTGGTGTTTGCATAATACAACTTTAATAGTATGACTATAGACCGTGAGGTATCCCATCTTAGTCCTCAGAGGTGAAAACGCAGTTGGCGCCCTCTTTGTTTGAAGTTGGTTGTAGATGTCCTTGGACTACAGTAGTCTCTTACAATCGGGTGTACTGTAGCTTCATTTATAACTTTAGTTTTATAAAAAAAAAACATGTGTGCAGTTCACAGGCGGTAAAAGTGAAACCTTATTTAATTTTTTATTAATAATAATGTATTATTAATTTATTTTTTATTGCAAATATATTGATAGCAAGATAATAGGAAACACAGTATACTGCGTTCTATCTCATTTTCTCGTAAGAATTGCGTCTACGGCCCCGTTTGTCGAGTGTGTCGTCGCCCTAAGTGCGGCAGTTGTCGCATTATGGCATCTTATGTTCTCGCATATGCCAAACGCACCTGCCGACCGGCTGCGCTTGCGCGTGGCTCTCTGGGCCCGTATCTTGCAGATTTCATCGATGCATTTATTTTTATATCGCTGTTATTTTTATAATGGTCACCTTTTTGAGATGCAGTCTTTTTTTTAAATAAAATGAAAGTGATAAATAAACATACAGCCTACCTGATGGGAAATTACTGTAGCTAGTGGACACCTGCTTTATGTAAAGAACGCTATAGATATGTTGTTACTCCCGAGGACTAAGATAGATTGCTTTTCCCTTAATCATGCTGACAAGGGCCTTTTACGCTAGAACATAAGTAAGAGGTGTGGTGGTGCCTCCCCGGACGGACTCCCATTTAGAATAATAGTCCCTTGTCTTACCAAATTGTTAAAAAGGGTATTTAAGCTTGGACGAGTTTTTATTTTAGGTCTATTTAGATTTTCAGTATTTAAAATTATAGAAATAAACTTCTTTCGTGTTAAAGACTGTTCTTTAACCCGAGGACTACTGAACTACGTTTAAGATAGACCGCAATTGTCGTATGCCCAGTTCGACAATCTAAACATGCAATAACCATGTAATTGATCTGGACACTGTTTATAGTGCCCGGACAAAATAAATAATAACATTACTTTACCGAATTTATTCATAAAGCCCGGTCAATTTAATTATATCAATAGTTTTCTATTTTATCATGTTGTGTACTCTCTGGACATTATGAATATTGCCCTATTAACTGCATGTTAAGTATTTAATGATTTCTTATATTTACGTGAAAACTACACATTTAAATAAAACTAATTTTACGGATTTTATCGCGTATATTAACTTATCGAGCACTTTACTGCGTAGATCGGAAAAAAACATTTTTTAATCTGGAGGTAGCCGTGGTTAACTATGACATTGGGACGTCATACACCTCAGTCCCCCCCGTGACCATAGGTGCTGTAAAGTGCTCGAAATGTCGGGAATATAAAATAAGCTAATATACAGAAACAGAAACTTTTTTATTCAATATAGATTATAAATAATACTTATTGAAAGTCACTCTTTTGTTTGATTACCACTGGTTCGGAAAAAACCTCTGTCCTGGGAAGAACCAGCAAGAAACCCAGCGGGACTTTTTTTAAATAACAGTTTACAATCATGATGTTACACAAATTAACAACACAACAAATTAGAAATAGCTTGGTAGCGATCACCTCATTTCCAAGGGTTATTATCATCCATAAATTCCTTAATATTATAATAACCCTTTTTATACAAACTTAGTTTAATAAATACCCGATAAAATCCGTAAAATTAGTTTCATTTAAATGTGTTAAGTATTTGTCTGTGTTGCCTTAAGCTAATTATTTAACTACAGTAATTACTGACCGCTGTGAGCACTGTCAGTTCGCCGAGCCACTCGTTGAGGAGTGCCTCCGGGTCCTCGGCGGCTCCCGCGCCCGTCTCCTCCACTAACGCCATCTGCAACAAGCAAATGTAAATTACAGTACATCTACATAACACCTTGTCTTTAAAAATAAATTCCGTACACACAACAAGAAGTCAACAAGTATTTTTCTTGTTTATTCAGAATAGGGTTGACAACTTATTTATTTGATATGTGGTATTTTTAATTTATTCATTTGAGTATGTTTTGAGGTCATTGTTTTGAAGAGGGATTGTGAATGGCAGTAATGATGATGATGATGACTTTTCAAATAGGTATTTTATATTTTAAAGGAATATTTGCTCTGCTTCGAGACTTTATTGACAGCCACAGATATTAATATACAGGGTTATTTGTCAAAGAGTAGCCAAATTTTAAACTTAAGTTCGAATAAACAAATAATAATACACTATTATTGCAGTTTTGAAAATACAAGTAAATATGGCTGCTACTTTTATTTGAATTTATCCCAATTTGAACGTGATTTATGGGCAATAACGTGTTTGCCTACCGATCGACCCTTACGACTGTGTGCGTGCGCAGTGAAATCAGTTTAAAATAATGCATTTCCACGCATTATGAATTGGAAAGAAAAAATGACAGAATGTTTGAGATTTTTTTATTAAATTTCCTTTACCATTTGTCTATATTACTTATACTGAAACTTCTTTGCAAATTTGGCCGGTGATTGCAGAATGACCTGTATACTATACAGGTCATTCTGCAATTAAAAATGTATGAAATATAGTACTTGCATTCCCAAATATAGGATACTATATTATATACCCTACTAGGGTTGACAACCCTAATTATCTAAGATTCGTTTGGAAAACTTTTTAATTTAACCGTTGCACGCTGCAGCTATATTATTGCTGCAGCACGAATGGTCTGGCTCGACGGGGAAAGGACAACGCTCTCACAGAATACCAGCGAAAAATATCAGCTCAATTGCTCTTGTATTTCGTATGGTGTGTGTAGAGAACCGGATACCCTTTTTACTAGAAACGAGGCATTCCATCTTAGTCCTCACGGGTGACAGTGCATCTTTATTTTTATTATTATTATTTATTATTATTCTTAATCGAGGATACATGTACTGTGTGCTCGTTTGTGAACCGTATTAAAAACAACCTTGTTTGAATAAACAGATATTTAAGTCACATCATTCTATTTTTCACGCGCATCTTAAGTAATTAATATTTATAATAGATATAGGTGTCTATATGCCATAAGCCAGCTTGACATCAGGTGGGATGACCTTTTTCAAAATAAGTTGTGACTTTGGTTACATATAACCTAAAAATATCAATTTTTTAATATTTCTGTAAGTAAGTTACTATAGATCCAGGATTTTGCGTGTTACTTCTCAATTGAATTAAAAGTTACTTTTCTAATTTTGTTATGTTCTTCTAAAATCATAAACGTAATCATTACAAAGTGGTAGTTACATACTGGAATATTGTGTGTTTATTTCTAATTTTAGTTGATTTGTTCTGAACACATTTATTTTAAACAATTTCTTTCGCATGCCAGGCAAGGCAAAATATGTGGAAACAAATATTGACTCTGTATCCATCCGTCTGTACCCTAAGATGTTTTTAAAGTAGTCTTTTTTTAATACGTCTTTGTCTGTACCCATGTCTTTAGCGATATAATTTTTTTTATAGGATAGGGTGACAAAAGAGCTCACTGTCCACCTGATGGTAAGTGGTTGCTGTGGCCCATAAACATCTACATTCATCCTCGTTTGTGAATCAAAATACAGATGCGTTGTCACCCGTGAGGACTAAGATGTAATGCCTCTTTTCCAGTAAAAAGGGTCTCCGGTTCTCTACACTTACCATACGAAACACAGCAGCGTCAAGCTGCATTTTACGCTGGTATTCTGTGAGAGCGTGGTCCTTCCCCGGTTGAGCCGACCCATTCGTGCTACAACTATACTACTAATGTAGTTGCAGCATGGCTCTACCACGTGTAAATTTATTATATATTATTATATTATTTGATTTAATTCTTTAGTATAAATGATTTGATTCTTTAGTAGTTTATATGAATGTGTTCTATCTTAGTAAGATGATAAAAAGTTTAAAAAAAATCTCAGTCGTCTATTCCAATCTAACCCTGTCACAATAGCCGCGACTCGTATTCACTGTGACCATTTCACAAAAGCGTTAAATAAAGAAATGAACACGTACCCCTGCCTCTATTGTTCTGTCAACATATTTCCTTTTATTATTTATAATTTTATTTTTAGGCGCGTTATAGGGATGATTGATTTTAGAAAAATATCGGTATTGATATCGATGTTAATATTTATTTAATTAATCTTGATACATATCCAAAGGGACATCCGAAAATATCGATGTTTTAGCTGGCAAAATAAACAATCTAGGATTATTTTATTTATCAAATGTTTTCATTAGGCGAACTAAATAAAAATATTATGGGTACATTCTGAAAATTTACTTTGGCTCCTCCGCCTATCTTTCTTTGTTAGCCTAACAAAGAAAGATAGGTCCTTACGGCAATAATAATGACAATGTAAAAACATCGATGTTATCCCGCTAAACATCGATGTTTTTCAATTATAGATCATACCTTGCGCCTAAGAGCAAAATATAGACTAGCTAGCCACGAGATTAGAAAGTAGTGCACAAATAAAATAGATAAGTATTTTAATATATTATAGGTGACAAACAAACACACAGTTCACCTATGGTAATAGTAACAGTAACACCTATAGTAATTGTAATAATAAAGTGGATATTGTTTCCCATAGACATCTACATCTATCCTCGATTAAGTATTAACCCTTTCGCTGACCCGTGCACTACATATAGGTCATTGCTATTGTTTTACTATTGTCTGAAAACCGGACAGTGAAAGTATGCCGATGTGTGTAATGCAGATGCCTTGTCACCCCTGAGGACTAAGTGGTATGCCTCGTTTCCAATAAAAAGTTTCCTCGACTCTCTACAGTCACCATACGAAACACAACAGCATTAAGCTGCTATTTTGCGCTGGTATTCTGTGAGAGCTTGGTAATTACTTCCGAGCCGACCCATTCATGCTAAAACCATAATATAGTTATATGTAGTTGAATAAAAGAAATGAATGCTCTATGTAAGTTGTTGGTTGCATTCACTTAATTACGCATCGTTCCTTTTAAATATAATATCAAAAACCGTTTTTGCACAAAACCAATACTGCTCAAAATCTTTATTAATTTTAACAGTGGTAGAGCCACGTGGCAGCTTTTGCTGTCACACGGATGGGCCGGCTCGAACCGGGGTGGTACCACGACCTCACAGAATACCAGCGTGAAGTAGAGGTTTACCTCTGCGTTTCGCTTGGTGAGTGCAGGTGGCCGGAGGCCCTTTTTACTGGAAATGAGGCATTCCATCTTAGTCCTCACGGGTGACAACGCATCTGCATTTTGATTTGTAAGAGAGGATAGATGTAGAAGTCTATGGGCCGCAGGAACCACTTGCCATCAGGTGGACTGTGTGCTCGTTTGTCACCTTTATCCTATAAAAAAGATCAATAATTTTATATAACAAAATAAATAGAGTACTACACATTTTTGTAACATGTCATTTCTGGAATGCAAAAGAACGTTAATTGCTTGGCTGAAGCAATTGGATTACCTTAAGACTGAAAATTTGTTATGGCATCTTGATGACCAAATTTAAATTAGATAAGATTTTGTTTTGTTTTTTTAGATTACAGATGATTTAGTATAATTTACTTTTTGGATGTTACTCCGTTGCCGAGTTATAGGAATTAAAAAAAAAAGTTAATATACATGTATGAATTATTACAAACTTGAAGAGAAATTTATTATTTTGTATATATTTTACTAAAAAAAAGTTATGTTACACTGGGATTTTCTCCTGTATCGTGGAGGCAGTTTACAAACATATTGCACAAGTACAAACATCCAGACCCGGAACAAATATTGGTAGGCCGGGCAATGGCTGAACCAATTGTAATAAAACTTCACGAACATAATATATAGAGCTATACCAGGAGGAACATATAGTATAGGCTATATGTTATGCAAAAAAACTTGGAGTATTCTTACGGAATCAAAAATGTATAAAATAAAAGGACTTGATGATTATCTTACATCTAAATAAAGCTCCTATATAGCTTCCCTATAAATTTAAGGTCTGTAATAAGTGTGAAATTTTTATTTCAAGTTTATATTTCTCTACAGTCTACACCAATGAACGTTGTTCTTTACTTTTATGTATACCTTTTCAGACACAATAATCATAATATTATCTCATCTACATTCAAAGTCCGTCAAGGATCGTATTGTATTTGATCCTAACTCCAACTGAAGACTACGCTTTATTTTGGGTCTAATGTTGCTAATGGTGGCATTGTTTCTTGATGATTAGTAACGTTAATTATATTTAATTTATGCAAAATAATTCTTTGCCAAAAATGATCGATTGACAACTCAACACGTTGAGCAAACTGTGTTATGAAATCATAGCGTGTAAATTAATCAATCAAATCAATCAAATCATTTATTTGCAATCCAAGTGTACATAATTGGTCTTAAATTAAAAATGCGCTTACAACTTAGACGCCCTTTTCAGGCACTGCAAATTTGACAAGGGCACTGCTTATATAGGTACTATTAACATACATAAAATATAATTAAAAGCTAGAAAAAAAAATATAAAAATACATAATAGTGTTATTTTTATCTAAATACTCTTCCACTGGGTAGAAGGGGTTTTGTTTTAAATATTTACTGAGTCTTGATTTAAATTTGGTTAATTCTGATATATTTTTTATTTCCTGTGATAATTTATTATATACTTTTATTGCCATATAGTATGGGCTTGTATTTAACATTTTTGTTCGCGACTGTGGTAGGTATAATTTATTTTTGTTACGTGTATTTATGTTATGTGTATCTTTAATCTTCTTAAAATATTATTATTATTGTGGACAAACAGGCATAGATCATAAATGTACATACAGGGTAAGGTAAGAATATTTAGTTGTTTGAAATACG